TGCCTGAAGAAGACTCCAAAGCGGTTCGCGCACGATACATGCGCACCTCTGGCCTCCGCGCAAACGACGACCTGTGGCATCAGCACCTCGGTCATTCGTCGCGAGCAAACCCTGACCAGCTATATTGATGTGGGAGTCTTCGTACCCGGCGCACTCCTGCGCCCTGATGGCTCAAGAGTCCGAACAACATCGCAGCCGCGCAACTGCACCGTCAGAGTCATCGACCGTTCCCACTGCTGGAACTTGGAACCAATCGATATCCCAAACTGCACAAGGTGTATAGCAACTTCCTTGTCGTCAGCCACGGCAGAATCAACGACGAGGGGTACACGCTCACCTTCGTCGACGCGGGAACCCACTACGTGTGGATCGCAAACATGCAGTTCTGCAGCAGGGCGTACGAGGTCTTCCACCTTTGGCTGGTGCACGCAAAGCAACAATCCGGGAAGAAGTTGCAGATTTGGCAAACTAACGGCACGGCAGAATTCTGTAGCAAGGAGCTGAAGGACTACTTGGTGCAAAAGGGAATTTCTCACCGCATGCTCATGACGAAGGTGCGTGCGCTGCTGAAGCAGTCGAAGCTTCCCCCGATGTACTGGCCGTACGCAATGCACCATGCCGTGCGGGTGCACAATCTCCTCTCCACCACCGCCATCACAGGGAACCTGTCTCCGCACTTGAAGTGGACCGGCAAGAGGGGCGACACCTCCATGCTCCGCGTGTGGGGGTGCATGGTGCAGTATTGCTCGCCGACCTCGACCATCGACACATTCGCAAGCCACGCGCGTTGGGGGGTTCATCTCGGCATAAGCTACGAGTATAACGTATGGATAACCCGCGACGTCATCGCCTACGAGTGACTCAACCTCTCCCAATACTGCGTAGTCAAGTAGGCGAACGCAAGCCGGGTCTACGCGAACGACGGGCACAGCTACGCTACTCCTGAAGACGAAGCCGCCGCTGTAATCCTGGAGTAGGACAACGTGAGCGACTTCACCGACATCGGCGGAGGCGATGACGACGACGACAGCGACGACTCGCCTCCAGGACCTGCGAGAGGAAGGAACAGGGACGCTCCGCCATCGCCACCACCTGAGCCCGAAAGCGACGATGACTACGTGCAGGAAGTCTTTCCGCAGCATTGTCATGACAGCACTGTTTCCGGGCTGCAACTACTAGGCCTATAAATAGCTACCTCCGCAGCTCCGCGCGTCCTCGAGCCGAAGAACCTACGCCAAACTTTAACAGGACCACACAGCAAGGAATGTCGCGGAGCCATGGATGCAGAAATTAAGGCACTGGAATCGCGCGATAACGGGGTGCTCGTCGATCGTGCAGCCATCAAGGGCAGGAGAGTGCTTTTAGGGAACTGGGTCTACCGCGTGAAGACCGCAGCAGACAAGACGATCGAGCACTTCAAGGCGCGGTGGGTCGTACGCGATTACGATCAGAGGCATGGGATTGATTTCGATCGTAAATTTGCTCCGGTTACCCGTCACACCTGTGTCAGGATCATGCTCGCTATCGCCGCGGCAAGACACCTACCTCTCTGCTAGATCGACATAAAGAACGCATTTCTCTATGCGCTGGTGGACGCAGTGATTTTTGTGGAGCAGCCGCACACCTACGGCGAAGGGGACCCGCATGTCTGCGAGCTGAAGAAGTCACTTAATGGGATAATGCAAGCACCACAGCTCCGGCAGCAGCACCTGCACAAAATCCTACTCGAGATAGGATTCCAGCAGCTGCCACATGACCCACGCATGTATCGCCTGCATTTCTGCAACAACTACATCCTTCTCACCGTGTATGTCGATGATCTGCTCTACACAGGGACGAGCACCACGTTGTTTGACCAGCTCGAGAAGAACATGGCAATGCGCGTCGACATCACCACCAACCATAACATGAAGCAGTTTTTGGGCCTTAACATCTCTTACTCGCCAGAGGCCATTCATCTCTCAGCTGCCAAGTACGATGAAACTCTCGAAAAGTGGTTCAACATTTCCCCCGCACCACTCTCCACTTCCTACCGCACACCCAGACCGAACCACAAACCCGACAACCAAACCATGTACCCTGCAGAACTTTACACTTACCAGCAGCAGTTGGGGTGCCTGCTCTTTGCCTCAGTCACATGCAGGCCAGACCTCTCCTACATCGCGAGCCAACCGGCTCAGTACTCTCGCAAACCAACGGCTGAAAATCTCGTAGATCTTCAGCGCGCCTTGCAATTCTTCATCTTCACGCCCAACATTGGGCTATGCTACTCCACAGTCACGACCCCTTCCTTCAACCTCATCGGCTGCGTGGACGCCGATCATGCTGCTGACCCCGACAATCCACGGTCCAGAACCGGGTGTGTTAACCGCACCAAACACATGGCGTTGCGATACTTTTTCGTCAAAGACGAAGTCGACAAGGGCAAGGTCGATTTAACCTATTGCCTGACGGGTGACATGGCAGCGGACTTCCTCACGAAGCGACTGCCCCATCAGCAGTACCAGCACTGCTCCGAACTCAGCGGAGTAGTCAAGCGGGTCAAGACTTGCTACGGCCAGGAGTGAAGGGGGGTGTTACGAATAGTAAATTACGAAAGCACTGTGCACTCCTAACAGTAGCAAGTAAAACATGCAGTAAAGAGTACGAAGACGAAAAGGCGGATTGACGCAAACAGTCGCGTACGATTTCGAAGAAGCTGGACCGTCGGGGCAGACTGCATCGGGCAGCTGCAGTGGCGAGGATTCTGCCGGGAACAGTTCGCAACCGTCTGGAGTCGCACGGTTGGATTTTGTTGTAATAAGGGAATGTACCCCTTAGAGTACATGGCTAGCCTAGGTCGTTTCGTATTCCCCTGTACTCTTATTTATACAAATGGATTTGCATGTTTTTATCATCTCAGTCATTTTACATCCACTCTGTAACACTCTCTGCGAACCTTCCTGAGGTGATCCTAGGGACGATCAACCTTTGATCTCAACACATGCTCCACTCGCTTTTTGCCACGTTGCTTCCACCAGTCCCAACACACGGATTGCTTGTCTCGAACATGGCATGGTGAAAGGTGGGAGAATGGGCAGTGTTGGGCAAGAGCGCAGCAATGGAACTCGTTGCCTACACAGATGACATCACAATTGCGGGGCCTTCTATGCGGGCTTGCGAAGCCTTTGCCATGATTGTCTCAAATACAACATTGCAGCTTGCGGTGCAACGTCCACAAGTCCAGTACCTGGTACCCGACGGCAGAGTACCTAACATACAAGCCACCATGCCTCACAGGCTGGTGGCTAGCGCCGACGGCATCCGCGTTCCGGGCAGCCTGATTGGCACCAGGGCTTTTGGAGCGGACTTGCCCTGCTACAAGGGGAGTTGCAGGACGCGGCAGCACCAGCCACCGCTATCATTTCTGCTTCTGCACATACATGTATGCTAGGTTAGAATTTCACAATTTGTTCACCAAGATGCTCATTACTTGCGTCAATTTGGTTCTACTTCACATAGAGCATGAGCCTGAGCGTAAGGTCCTCCTCGGAGCCATTAGGGCGTATTCCTACGGCCTCCTATCAAGGCCACCTCCTATCAAGATTGTACTTTTTGCCTGGTAAAAATAGCGAGAGGTTTTGGGTTTAGGGGATTTTTCAGTGTGAGCTTGATACGAGGTTCGCTTGATAGGAGGATAGGAATACGCTCTTAGTGATCCCTCACATCACATCCATCCGCGATTGAAAGCAATAACATTCTGAAACGGGTTTCCTTAAGTTTCAGCACAAATACATCTGATAAGCCTCAGGGGGGGATATTAGCAAAATTAAGGCCAAAAAGGTGCGGTATAAACCGCTATGGCCGTCTGTCTGGGTGAATACGATAACGCTTAGTATAGCAAATAAGCACCATAAGATAGTAAGGGAAATATGGTGATGTCTCAAGCTATTCGGCTTCATGAAAGTGTCACCGTGAGCCTCAACAAATGACCTACAAGAGTTCTGGAAAAAGGTCATCCCACCAATGAGCACCTTGAAGCCTTTCCTTGCATCCGTGCTCCGGTCTGCCACTGCATGCATCCCTACCCGGGCTTGTGCCCAGAAAATCATCAAAATGCATGAAGCAGCTGGTGCTCTCACTCCCACCCACACTATGAGCCTTACTGACTTGTCCCTTACTGAGTCCAATCTCCTCAAGCAGCCCCCCTTTCTCCACGTCTTCATGCATGCTCCACTCACTTTCCGCCACGCTGCTCCCACCAGACCCAGCAAGCTGATTGCTTGTCTCAAACATGTCATGATGGAGAGCAGCAGAGATGAGGGCTCGGCTGCAGGGTTTGAGGTCAGCGACTGATGACAGAGGGAAGGTTGCTCCAAGAGGGGAAGGATGTGGGGAAGCGAAAGGGTTCACAGGGAAGGCACAGGAAGGGTCAACCAGAACTGAATCGTGGCCATGTGTGGGCTGCTGTGTCTGCTGCTGTGCCTCGTGCTGTGTCTTCTGAGCCTGCCACTGTGACTCTGCCTGTTGCTGCCAACATCCCTCCTCTCGGCTTTGCGCTACCTGCCCCAGAGGCGACCCAGAAGCTCTCTCCCACCCCTTATGCAGCTGCTGCACCTCCCAACCGAGCTCTTCTTGGTGCAGCCAGGGCTGCCCTTCGTCTTTCACCTGTGTGTCATACAAGGCCACGGAACATCTGTTCCCCTGGGCCGTTGATTGGAGATACGACGCTTGTTGATGAGCAGATCTGCGCCGTTGGATTTGTGCTGTGCAGAATCCCCTCTGCTGTAGCATGTGGTTATCAGGTGATTCAGCTTCAGGAGTTTGCAACAGAGTCAGGTGTCCTGTGGTTTCCTCCACTGCTGGGCTGCTGTGCAGAAATGTATCTTGGTGTTGTGATGATGTAGGGATGGAGGACGTGCAATGAGGGACGGGAAATGGGCATGGAAAATCTGCACCAGGTGCTTGCTGGGTAGTTGTAGTAGACCAAGAAGCGTGCGGTTCTGATGGTTCTGGGTAGGTTAGAAGTGCAGGAGATGGGTGGAGAGGAGTATCGAAAGTGCACTGTGGGTCTGAACAAGGGTTTGGCTGGTGCTTGGGAGTGTAACACGGGTGGTGGCGTGACATTGGGGAGGGCTGAAGGGAAGGAGGTTGTCGAGGGGGGTGGAAAACAGAGGGAGGGGTAGTGTGTGGGGCAGTGTGAGGGGCAGTGTGAGGGGCAGTGTGAGGGGCAGTGTGAGGGGCAGTGTGAGGGGCAGTGTGAGGGGCAGTGTGAGGGGCAGTGTGAGGGGCAGTGTGAAGGGCAGTGTGAGGGGCAGTGGGAGGAGCAGTGAGAGGTGCAGTGTGAGGGGCAGTGGGATGGGAACAGAAGAACTGAGGGTGGGGGGTGGGAGGGTGGGTCACAAGGATTGCGGGACACTGGCAATGCTGGTTGATGTTCAGAAGAGGAGGATGAGAGTGGGGGCATGCTTTCTGTGTGGCACCCAGCGCATGCTGTGGCACCTGAAGCAACACCTGATGTGGTGTCGTCTGTTGCACCAGGGGTGCCACTGGTGGTGGCACCTGTGGTGGGCCCTGCGGCTGCAGCTGCTGCTGCTGGAGTGGTGGATGCTTCGGTTGCGGCTGCTGCTGTTGTTCATGCTGCCTGTGCCGTGCTTTCTTTGACTTCGGCCCTCCTGCTTCGGCTGCACCCAGCTGCCGCTTCTGCTTCTGCTCTCGCCACCGCTTGGCATGGGCGAACACGAGCATGCACCAGCTGCAAGGGGTTGGGATGGGGTGAGAAAAGGTAGGAAATATACAACAGGGTTTAGAGATGATGCTCTTGCTTACAACGCGATAAGCGGAGGAGTAGGAGGAGGTGGAGGAGGAGGAGGAGGAGGAGGAGGAGGAGGAGGAGGAGGAGGAGGAGGAGGAGGAGGAGGAGGAGGAGGAGGAGGAGGAGGAGGAGGAGAAGGAGGAGAAGGAGGAGGAGGGGGGTTACAAGAAGGAGACAAGGAAACGCCAACTGTGTAAGCAAGGTTTCTTAAGATTAACACCTAGTATACCATTTGAAGTAGCCACTAGTCATCCAACCAAGCTCATTGGAATCCACCCATTTTTTGCATTTGAATGGAGACCCTGAGGAGGCACCTATGCAAGGGAAGAGAGAAGGCAGGCGGGCATACCTGATGGCCTTGTTGTGCTCGTCCAGACACTTCCTGCTGTCGGCCCGATCACTGGATGACTCAGCTACCTGCCCCGCCTTTGTAGTAGCACTCGCTGCAAGCGGCGACGAATCAGTGGACGAGGCTGCTGAAGCCAGCCCTGCAGCAGCAGGGGTGGAGCCCCGAGGAGAGGCGCAGGGAGCTGCCTGCATGGGAGTGCTGTCAGTCTCCGGCCCTGCCTCCATCCCTGCTCCAGCAAGCACGAAGCTCCGGAGAGACGCGCTGGTCGAAGAAGTAGTCCTGCTTAGTAGAGGAGTGCCCTCCGCATTCCCTGCTGATGCCACCTCGTGTTGATCGTCCTTCGCAGCAGCGGTGGTTCGTGCAGCGGAGGCAGGGCTACCGGAAGTAGTAGGGTTACCACATGTGGTAGGGTTACCAGCACCGCCGCCAGAGGGGATTTTCTCGATTCCTTCAGGGTTGCCATCTTCAGCGGCCATTTCAGCAGCGGAGGAGTGCAGGCAGCGCATGATCTCGTGCACCGGCATGGGCGGCACAGGAAAGTCCATCATTGAATCTTCTGAGTCAAACGGGTCGTCCGAGTCAATGCCGCCGCCCAGGCCGCAGCCGCTCATGATGCTTGGGACAGTGCCGGAGCTGGGAGAGCTGCTGGTGGAGTCTGCTTTGTTGGCATCTTGGATGAATTTTCTGAATGCATAAGAGAAAGGGAGCATGATAGGTGGGTGAGGGGAGGGAGGTCGGGGTTCAGCAAAAGTTTTTTAATGGCCTTAGAGGAGTGCGACTCGGGATATAGGACTTATAAGAAGACCTAGTGATGTGTGGGTAATTATGCTTAACTCTTTTTGCATTGAGTCGGCAGACAGACAACGATGGTCGTCCGACAAACCTAAAGTTAGAGATTGTAAAAGCCATCAAACATCACATTTGGGAGGGACAACTTTGCTAGATGTTGGTGAAATATGCCAATATCCGCTCCAATCAAGGAAAGTACTTTGGCGATGGCCGGACACCTTATATGTTTCCTCACCTCTTCAGGAGCAAGAATCGGTTACAGCAAGCCTTGCTGTCTCGATGACGTCCTAGCATATTGCTCTGTTGAAGCAACGCCCATTGCGACGTGCCATTGTACAGCACATGCTCGAGAAGTATCTTGTCTTCCTGGAGGAAAAAACATAGGAAATGATGAGGTATGTTTTAGGAAGCTGCTTGCATCAATTAGGAGCCAATTTATAGGTTAGTGAAGTCACTGTAAGGAATCCACCGCTGAAATATATCTGAAGTTTGTTGCAGCTGAAACGCAACTTGCATCAACGCACCTCCGAACTCCACCGTGCCGCGTATGTCCTGCCGGTTGTGTTACCACGGCTGCCCATGTCGAATCAGCTTCGCATAAAGTTCTCGTCACTCGTCGCCTCACCTCCCTCGCACCCAGCCTGTGGAATGCAAGTCTTCGCGCTTTCTTGCAGTTCCTCCACTGCGCGGTAACCAGATGAAAGCGAACGTAGGGTCTGGCGCGAAAACGGACGCGACGACAGAACTTCCCCTGCGACAAACGGCTGCTGAAGACAGAGCGACTCGCAAAGGTTTCTAAAAGCTCCTCCCCCACCTGCCCAATTTCTCAGCTGCTCGGATGCTGTAATTGCTCCGCTTCTCGCGCACAGTTGCTCGCTCCGCTTCTCGCGCCCCACAGCTGCTCGCTCCGCTTCTCCCGCTCAGCTGCTCGCTCGGCTCGTCCTCTGCTGCTCGTCGCTCGCTACTCAGAAAGACGAATTCTCGGATAGTGCGGAAATGCATTCGCCGACGCAAGTTACGGTTTTTCAGTCAACGGGCGGGAATATCTGGAGAGGCGCCGCACGTGCCGAGCTAAATCGATATACGCTTGAATGGAAGGGGCACTCGAGCTAGATCGATATCGCGTAGGCAGATCGTAGCGACAGAGCCCTGATCCTTGCTCAACAAACGTATGTCCCTTCCCAACAATGCAGACAAATGCAGGGACTGAACAATGGTAGAGAAGTCCGGCCTCCGTGAATTAGTGCAACCTGTGCGGAAAGTCTCCAATTCTCTGCGCAACGCGAGAAGGTTCCGAGTTCAACCGCCAACCAACCTTTCAAAACCTGTGAAGACAAGCAACAGGTTATGACAAGCCGTCACACCCAGCTTTTGAGGCGACTAAGGAAACGCGGCGTCTTTCAGATCAGCACCAAAGAGCGAAGCAGCCCAACCGTAGGAGCCGAGCTAACAAACAACCCTCAAACTCTAGAACCCACGCTTTGTGATTGCCAATCGAAACTAAGCGCTGCTGCCAATTGGGCTCCGCACCTGAAACAATGATGACCGCCGAAGCACAGTGCTAGCTTCCGCAGCTTCCGATGAAGCCTCCGGTCGAATAGGAGTCCGACTCTCTCGAAGGGGTTGATCCGAGCCCGGCGCGAGCTTCCGTTGTCTCTCTCCCTCCGCGTGATATTGCTTCTTTTCCTATCTCTCTTGCTGTGCGGCTCTGCTCGCTGTGACGGCCACTGCTGGCGCTTCACGTGCTCGCAATGCTGCTCCCAGTGCCGGTGAATGGGGGGATGCTGTGCCCACCTGCTGCACTAGGCCGATGGACAGGGGGGGGATGGGCAGGAGTGAGAGCCCGAGATTGCGGAACGTTGTGGAGGACGGATCGCGGAGTTGAAATATCTCCGAGTGGCCCAATTCGCCGTTTTTGTGTTGCACAAATGCGGCGGGATCCTAGATCTCATGGACAAGGAATGCCAGCCAAGTTGACTGTGCTTCACGGAAACACCCAAAGAGGGTTCGGGGGAGAAAAGGAGAGGCGAAAGGCAGGGAGGTGGAGATGAACTGACGTGGGCAGCGCCACCTGGCGCAGGCTGATTGGCCTAATCCGCCGCTACTCGACCTTTCGCATTGCTGTAAAGTCAGGAAGCAACAGCGCGGAGAGCCTGCCACAGGCTGTCGACGGTCGAGCGGAATGCGCCGATGAGGCGGAGGTTCTGGAAGGCCTTGGGACTCCGATCGGCGAGGCAAGTGATTTGAGTGAGGTAAGCGGCTTAGGCGGAGGGGGGTGGAAGTGCCTAGAGTGTGGAGTGCAGATTGTCGCAGCGTTGTGAGCGTTTGACATTGCTTGCTTGTGGCAAGCTGACCACAAGGAAATCTCGCCACTAACGAACGGAGGATGGCTTTGCGTGTCGTTTTGTAGGGTGCTGTTACCTGGTACGCCACTACAGTAACGTGGGAACAACTTCTCGAAAGCACTTTTGCTGCCCTGCTAAGGTCGTATCCCTGGCTAGTGTCAAGTGCGGTTAGTGTCATGACACTATCTCGGAAAACGCATGGAGGACTAGTCCTCCTGGTGTCAGCTAAACCGACCAATCTGATTGCGGGAAATTGCCCAATGTGCCCAACATTGACACCAGGCTGGAGCCGCGTGCGGGCGCGGCTCCACTTGGTGTTAAAGCGAATATCCCGCTTGACACCAACAGTATCTTGACTCTAGGCAGGGATACGACCTAACTAGCAATATGATCCGTGGGCATTTTTGTATCTACTAGCCTTGCTTTCGTTTGTCTCTGTCCATCACGCCATGCCTTACAAAAATGCATGCCGCCACCCTGCTGCTTGCACCCATCTTGCTTGTACACGTACTGTGAGGAGATTACGCTTAGCAACAAACTCGTTGTTTTCCTTTTCCCCAAGTGCGAGGGTGAACGAACCAAGCGAAAAACGTGAACACAATATTCCTGGATGGCAAATCCAGAGATTGGACGGGGGAAAATACGCAGAGACGAAGAGAACTTTTGTCCTAGAAAGGAATGGAAGACTGGACGACGCGCGATGCAAAACCACGTCAGCACCAGCGTTCTTGCCCCTCGTAAGCGCAGCGCGCGCGAATTTCCAGTGCCGCACTGGCGAAAAACGAGCGTCCCGATGCAATGGAAGTGGTGGAGCTCGAGGGGATGACTCGCTATGTGCATCTTCTTTTCCCGTTTTTTTTCACAGACCTGCTGATAGTAACATGATATATTCTCAAGGAATTACTCATTTGAGAACATTCCCTTTTTGTGTTTGAATGCTAGTACAGTTCTCCTTTATAGAAAGAACCTTCGTACCTAATTTACACGATATGAAAGGGTTGAGATTTGACATTTTCAGCACTTGTACTGGGGGCAATAATAGTCAAGAAAGGTGGACACAAAATGCATTTTCTCTGTTATCCATCCAAAGTTCCCGTAGATTGGGGTATCCCGTGCAAAACGGGGGAAAACAACAATAAAATGTCAACAAACAAGTCAGAAATGATGTTTCGGACCCCTCCTAGGCAAGTAGGATGAAAGATACACTTCATCCTCTCCTACACCTCCCAAATCATCCGACTCATCACCAAGATATTTGTCCTCATCTCCAACATCCCTATCCGCCACGTCACCACCTACACCGTCATAATTCCCCACATTATCGCCAGCACCGGTATCGTCATCTGCGTCAAGATCCACGTCAGCAGAAAAGGCACCAGCACCTGCCACATCAGCAGCACCAGTGTCCTCATCCACCTGACCTGGAGTCGCCACGTCAGCAGAAATATCTCCAGAGACCAGAGCAGCAATAGCCGTGTCGTAAGCATCAGCAGGGTTACCAGCAGCGTTACGAGCAACAGATGCACCAGTAGGGTTACCAGCAGTGGGGGTTTCAAGGAGCTCCACCTGGGGTTCAAAGGCAGGCCAGTCCTTGCGCGGCCTGCAGGGGAAGGGAGGAAGGAGGTAGGGAAAGATGCACCAGGGGGGATCAGCAGCAGTGTTACCAGCAGCGGATGTACCAGGGGCAGTCTGAAGGAGCTCCACCTGCGGTTCAAAGGCAGGCCAGTCCTTGCAAGGTCTGCCCGGGATCTGAGAAGCTCGGGAGAAAACAAAAGAAACTGAGAGCTAAAGAAGTGCTTTTGAGTTACGCTGAAAGAGAGGCGCATGCAGGCCAATGCTGCGAGGCTTGCAGTTGTGGGAAGAGACGGCCAGCAGCTTCATCTCCCCACTCGAGCTATCCCGCCCATAACCCTACCTGCCCATCGTCCTCCGGTGGATTCTCCAACCCTGCCTTGCCCAGCCAGACTCCGCCCTCACCTTCTAGGCCAGAGCTGTGGTGCCCACTGGTGCAGGTGGGAGGCAGCTACTGTCAATCAAGGGCGAGAGGGGCCAGCATGACCTGTGCCCTGCGTCTAGCTTTTGAGGCGCCTCAAAAGTCGAGAGGGGCCAGCATGACCTGTGCCCTGCGTCTAGCTTTCGAGGCGCCTCAAAAGTCGAGAGGGGCCAGCATGGCCTGTGCCCTGCGTCTAGCTTTTGAGGCGCCTCAAAAGTCGAGAGGGGCCAGCATGACCTGTGCCCTGCGTCTAGCTTTCGAGGCGCCTCAAAAGTCGAGAGGGGCCAGCATGGCCTGTGCCCTGCGTCTAGCTTTTGAGGCGCCTCAAAAGTCGAGAGGGGCCAGCATGACCTGTGCCCTGCGTCTAGCTTTTGAGGCGCCTCAAAAGTCGAGAGGGGCCAGCATGACCTGTGCCCTGCGTCTAGCTTTTGAGGCGCCTCAAAAGTCGAGAGGGGCCAGCATGACCTGTGCCCTGCGTCTAGCTTTTGAGGCGCCTCAAAAGTCGAGAGGGGCCAGCATGACCTGTGCCCTGCGTCTAGCTTTTGAGGCGCCTCAAAAGTCGAGAGGGGCCAGCATGACCTGTGCCCTGCGTCTAGCTTTTGAGGCGCCTCAAAAGTCGAGAGGGGTCAGCATGACCTGTGCCCTGCGTCTAGTGTGCATTCTCCACCCACCTTCTCACGCTGATGCGCCCGTCTGCTCTCCGCATGAAGGCTAGCGTCGTGGTGCCCACGGGTGGGGTGGGAGCGGCAGCTGCTGCTGTGGCCTTTAGGCTGGAAGGGGGTGAGAGGGAGGGAGAGCGTGGCAAGGAGAAAGGCAGAAACGAACTTGAAGGCCAGAGCGGTGGTACCCACTGGTGGGCCGGGAGGGACCGCTGCTGCTGTGGTAAGGAGAGGGGTAAGAGGGGGATGTGTGTGTGACAAGGAGAGGAAGAGGAGAAAGGCAGAAACGAACTTGAAGGCCAGAGCGGTGGTACCCACTGGTGGGCCGGGAGGGACCGCTGCTGCTGTGGTCTTTGGGCTGAAGGAGAGGGGTAAGAGGGGGATGTGTGTGTGACAAGGAGAGGAAGAGGAGAAAGGCAGAAACGAACTTGAAGGCCAGAGCGGTGGTACCCACTGGTGGGCCGGGAGGGACCGCTGCTGCTGTGGTCTTTGGGCTGAAGGAGAGGGGTAAGAGGGGGATGTGTGTGTGATAAGGAGGAAGGCAGAAACGAGCATGAAGGCCAGAGCCGTGGTGCCAAATGGTGGGGAGGGAGGGGCTGAAGGGCAGAAGAGAAGAGTGAAGGGAGCGAAGAGCGGCGCGAAGGGGAGAGGAAGAGGGGAAACGACAGTCGAGCGTGAAGGCCAGAGAGCCATGGTGCAAAGTGGAGGGGCCTCGGAGGGAGGGTGTGTGTGACAAGGGGAGCAACGGGGAGGAAGAGGGGAAAGCTACGGTCGAGCATAAAGGCCAGAGCTGTTGGGAGAGGAAGGAGAACGGAGAGGAGAAGGCGAAACAGGCACACCATTTCTAGCTCTGCTCCTACCTCGCCTTTTCATCTCTCATTCCAGGCTTAAGCACCCCACTCCCCACCCACCCACCCAACCCCGTGCTAATCCCTCTCGCCACTCCCACATTCACCCCCATCTCCCCTCCCCTTCCCCCACCCACTCACTCGGCATTCCCCCCGCCCCCCTCCCACTCACTCGGCATTCTCCCCGCCCCCCTCCCACTCACTCGGCATTCCCCCCGCCCCCCTCCCACTCACTCGGCATTCCCCCCGCCCCCCTCCCACTCACTCGGCATTCCCCCCGCGCTCCCTCCTTGGCCGCTTGGAGGAGCGCGTCTCCTTAGAAGCGAGCATCTGGCGGGCCAGCTGGTGGGGGGCAAGGGGGGGGAAGAGGGGAGAGAGACGCGAGGGTGGGTGGACGGGTGAAGCGTGGGTGACTTGAACTCGCTTGGAGGAGCGCGGCTCCTTAGAAGCGAGCATCTGGCGGGCGAGTTGGTGGGGGATGGATTATGGACGTGGGCAGAAAGAGGGAGAGTTAGCAGGTTACGTGGGTGCAAGAACCCTGGGTGGGAGGGTGAACTGCCTTCTCGGCCGCTTGGAGGAGCGCGTCTCCTTAGAAGCAAGCATCTGGCGGGCGAGCTGACGCGGGCAGGCCAGGCAGGGGGTGGGGTTGTGGCCACACCAGAAAGAGGAGGGGAGCAGCAGGAACGTGGGTAAAGGAAATGTGAAAAAAAAAAAAAAAAAAAAAAAATCAACTCTTGGAGGAAAGGAACGTGGGAGAGCAGAGAGCGGAGAGCAGAGAGCAGAGAGCGGAGAGCAGAGAGCAGAGAGCAGAGAGCGGAGAGCAGAGAGCAGAGAGCAGAGAGCAGAGAGCGGAGAGCAGAGAGCAGGAAAGGAGGTAACAGTGGGAGAAGAGTGGAGGGAGGAGAGAGAGTAGGAGGAGGGGTTGAGGATAAGAGTTGGGAGAAACGGGCAGAACTAGGGCAAGTATGATATGCGAGCTTCATTTCTCTGGCCAAGAATATCGATATAATAATGATGACCGAAATTGAGTGAGCATTCTTGGACAAGGAACCATAACTTAGAAATTGGATAAGCGGACAAAATGAGAAACAGGAACACTCCGCCCACCTCTAGCAATTGCTCTCGCAGAGTCACTGCAACCCAGACCTGCAAGGGGGGCGGCGGGCAAGGGAGGAGTTGAGGAATGAGGGGATTAAGATGCTGCTGAGGATGCATTACCTGAGAGCATGGCATTACCTGAGAGCGTGGCATTACCTGAGAGCGTGGCATTACCTGAGAGCGTGGAATTACCTGAGAGCGTGGAATTACCTGAGAGCGTGGCATTGCCTTTTGAGACGTCTCAAAAGCCATTAAGACGTCTCAAAAGCCATTACTTGAGAGCGTGTCATTGCCTTGCCAGCACATAACACAAGAGTACAGGAGTGCAGAGAGCGGGTGTGAGGCATTAGACTGCAGGCTACTTTCACAATGAACACAAGCGCAAGAGCACACTTTACGTCCACATGCAGTAAACAGATGCAGGCAGATGCAACACACACTAGTGCACTCAAAAGGGGCACAAGGCGTTGACATACTTGAGAGATCTCTTTTGAGTTACCAATAGCCAAAAGCAAAGATACCTATAGGCATGAGCAAAGAGCTGAACCGCAGTTCGGTTCGGTAATTTGCTCATGCCTAGATACCCATAAGCCGTTGACATAATGGTATCTCCACGTAAGAAGTTCATCACCACAGACAGGCTGGGGCTTCAAGTACAAAAATTGTTTGTCAGGTCAAATTTTCTCAGCAATTATGCTACCTGTGCTTGTGGGTCGGCATCGGTAATCCCAAGATCAGAGCAAAGGCCAGCAGCATAGGCCTCGGGATCCGCGTATGGGTTGTTCAAATCCTGCCAAGAGGTGAGGGTTGGGGTGGGAGCGGCGATAGCCGAAGGATGAGGATGGATTTAAACATGAAGTGTTTGTTGCTACAGTGAGAGATGATAACCAGACGAATGAAATTGCAACCATCAACAAAAGTGACGTGGAGGGTATGTACGATGGAAACGACCTATTAAGTTGACTTTTGAGTCGACTCAAAAGTCAACTCGAAATGACTTGACCTATTGAGTTATTTCCATCGTGCACGAGTGCGTGTACGGCCTAAGTTCAATGAGTTCCTCCCTCCATGAGCTATTTTTTCTGGCTACTCACAAGAATTGGCCATTCTTGGCAGGGCAGGGCAGTGGCTTACCCACAAGAATTGGTCTCGAATGATGCATGTGGTTGTACACACATCCAGCTGTGCAGCAGGGAAGAGGACACGTGTGCAGGGGTGGAAAGGGGGTGAGTGAGGTGGGGAAACCAACACTATAGAGAGGTGGAAAGCGGCGGGGTATCAAAGGAACGACCTCGCATGATGATGCATGTGACTGTGCTGTGCACACATCCACCTGTGTGGAGGGGAAGTGGACACATGCAGGGATGGATAGATAGTAAGAAAATAATTATCAAAAGGTGAGGGCGCGAGTGACAACAAGTTTTGTAGAGCTCTGGCAATAACAAGTTTTGAGAGTAGTCTATATTGCCCTTGAACCACTCTGGAAGCGATTGCACACTGCACCATTCCCACCTTCAGCCAGTGCTTGTTTCCCTTCATTATAAGCCGGTGCTATAAGCACACGATACAATGCTATTATCAAAGCTCTCATTCTAAGAACACGATCAGCCTCTTCTTCCTTTCGCCAAGCATACATTCGCTCTTTATCAAGAGCTCCCACTCCCAGCACAGTAGCCAGCCAATCAGGTATTGAGATGCACATCCTAACCCACACATAAGCACAACTTGCATACGTTCTAAGCAGGACACCATACACTCATTATAAGCGCAACGCACCCTCACCAGATGCACGTTCTCCTCTCTGCCTGCCAACACTGCTGCCAGGTCCTGAGCATGAAGGAAAGACAAGTATGTGCCTTGTATCGATCTCACTATAAGCACACTCGCTAAAGGGACACTCTCTCTCTCACATTCACCAGGTGCAAGTTCTCCTCACTGGCTCCAAGCACTGCTGCCAGGTCCTGCGTATGCAGGGAAGACAAGTATGTGCCATACACCAATCTCGCTATAAGCACACTCGCTACAGGGAATCCCTCTCACCTTCACCAGGTGCACGTTCTCCTCACTGGCTCCCAGCACTGCTGCCAGGTCCTGCGCATGCAGGGAAGACAAGTATGTGCCATACACCAATCTCGCTATAATAAGCACACTCGCTACAGGGAATCCCTCTCACCTTCACCAGGTGCACGTTCTCCTCACTGGCTCCAAGCACTGCTGCGAGGTCCTGCGCATGTAGTGATCGAAATTCAGCTACCTGGGCCTGCATGGTGAATGGGATTAGGAGTGCGGGAGTTAAGGGGGAAGGGGAAGGCGGGAAAGGGGAAGGGGAGCAGGAGAAAGGGGGGGGAAGGGGAAAGGGGTGGTGGGAAGGGGGTGGTGGGAAGGGGGGAGAGGGGAAGGGGTGGAAGGGGGGAAAGGGGGGATGGGAGGAAACGCGAGGTGGTTGGAGACGGGAGGGGAAAGAGACGTGCTTGGGCCAAGGCAGGCCGTGTCCGTACTTCAGTTAAGTGGGCATGCATGGTGAATGGGACGGGGGGTGCGGGCGGGAGTTAGCGGGTGGGGGGAAATGGGGGTGGGGGCAGCGGAGAAAAAAGAGAGGTGCTTGGGCCAAGGCATTTAGTGTCTGGAATTCAGCCACCAGGGCATGCATGTGTGGAGGGGATGGGATGGGGGGTGTGGGACTTAGGGGACGAGAGGGAGTGAGGAGCTGGGGGGTTGAGTGAAGGCGAACAAGTGATGTGAGGTGCAAGAACCACTCCCCCCTCCCATCTCTCATCTCTTCCCCCCTCTTCCTCATCTCCCTCAACTCTCCCCCCCACCCTCCTCTCCCCTCCCCTCCCCTCCGTCCCTCCTCCCTCCGTCCCTCCTCTCCTCCCCCCTCTGCCCCCTATTTCCTTCCATCCCCCAATCCGCACACCTGTATGGCCTGTGTGATGTGCGGCAGGAAGTAGGGAGGAAGCTTCGTGTCCCTCACGAGGCCCTCTGCAAAGGCCGCTATCTCCCCATCCGGCTCTGCAGCAGGGGGGATGGGGGGCAATGGGGGGAAGGGGATAGGATGGGGGGGGAGGGATAGGATGGGGGGAGGGGATAGGATGGGGGGAGGTTAAGGGGGGGAATGAGGCTGAGCCTTCACGAGGCCCTTTGCGAACGCAGCTGCCTCCCCATCTGGCTCTGTAGTAAGGGGAATGGATGGGATGGGGGGAAGAGGATGGGGGAAGGGGAGAGGATGGGAGGGGGGCAAGGGGAGGGGATGGGGGCAGGCAACGGGTAAGCATGGGGGGCCACAAGGGGAGGGAATTGGGGGGATGGAACGCGGAGGTCAAGGAAGGGAGGGGGAGCAATGGGAGGGGGGGAAGTCAAGGGGAGCCGGGGGGAGGGTGTAAAGGGGAGGGAGGGAGGGAGGGAAGTCAATAGGAGGTGACCCAAAACAGGCGGGAGGGAAGGAACGAGGAGAACGGACAGGAGGAAGAAACGGTGAGGGAGGAGGGGAGGGACGGAAAAGAGGGGAAGGACCGGACGGTTGGGGAAAGGTGGGTGCGCAACGGGACAGGCTTTAGTGGGGTGGTGGGTCCGGTGGGGGTTCGGGTGAGGGGGGGAGTTGAGGGGGAATAATCGGTAGTCTGGGAAAAGTGAGTGGAGATGAAAGAAAGGGATAGGTTAACAACAAGCGAGAGTCAGTAGAGTTACCGTTGCTGTTCCAGCAGAAGGCGTCCTGCAGCCGTTGATCTCCGATCTCGAGGTCCAAACGGACGGGCACGAGCGGGTCATCCACTAGCCTGCAGGGCAGAACGGGGAGGAGCGGAGCAGAGAATGGCAGAGCAGAGCAGAGAATGGCAGAGCAGAGCAGAGAATGGCAGAGCAGAGCAGAGAATGGCAGAGCGGAGCAGAGAATGGCAGAGCAGAGCAGAGAATGGCAGAGCGGAGCATAGAATGGCAGAGCAGAGCAGAGAATGGCAGAGCGGAGCAGAGAATGGCAGAGCAGATCAGAGAATGGCAGAGCAGAGCAGAGAATGGCAGAGCAGAGAATGGCAGAGCAGAGCAGAGAATGGCAGAGCAGAGCAGAGAATGGCAGAGCAGAGCAGAGAATGGCAGAGCAGAGCAGAGAATGGCAGAGCAGAGCAGAGAATGGCAGAGCAGAGCAGAGAATGGCAGAGCAGAGCAGAGAATGGCAGAGCAGAGCAGAGAATGGCAGAGCGGAGCAGAGAATGGCAGAGCGGAGCAGAGAATGGCAGAGCAGAGCAGAGAATGGCAGAGCAGAGCAGAGAATGGCAGAGCAGAGCAGAGAATGGCAGAGCAGAGCAGAGAATGGCAGAGCAGAGCAGAGAATGGCAGAGCAGAGCAGAGAATGGCAGAGCAGAGCAGAGAATGGCAGAGCAGAGCAGAGCGGAGCGGAGCAGAGAACAGAGCAGGGCAGGGCAGAGCAGCGCAGAGAACAGAGCAGGGCAGGGCAGAGCAGCGCAGAGAACAGAGCAGGGCAGGGGTGAATGGTGTGCGGAGGGGTTATCGGATGCGTCAAGTTGACTTTTGACTCGCAAAGGCGCTCAAGGAGCCTTGGGAATCCCGTCGAAGCTCGTTCAGGGCCAGAAGAGACGCCACAAGGCTTTGATTAAAATTGACAACCCACCACTCTATAACGGGGATTTTTGCCAACCCTGTCGCGCCCTATTTACCGCATGGCTGACGCGTAGCTGTCGCGACTACCGCCACGTGGTTCGCCGTTGGGTGCGCCGGGCCGTCACTGGTATTATGCAATTATCACTGCGTATGAGAATTCTCGTAAACGATTCGCTGTTAGGTGCGCTCGGCCGTCACAGTTGTGCTGCGAGCGGCTTTCACGGCGAGTCGCGAATTCCTCAGCTGTTTTACATTTCGCGCGAGGCGCGGGGGGAGCGTGAAGAGAGGAAGGGTCGCGAGGAACAAAGGGGGCGGAAAACCATTTTACTTTTGAGCAGATTTCGGACTGTCCTTATCGGACGGTTCTAATAACGAGATCCGGACAGCCCTGATTGACGGTTACACGTCCGGACGATGCCCCGTCCGGACCTCGTTTGTGACACTTTTTGCATCAGCGAAACTTTATCTCCCTGCGAAATGTAACAGACATTTTAGAGGTTCAAATTAGAGCTCGTGCGCCAATGACAGCGGAGCACGGACGAACGGTCCGCTTTACTGTTCGGACGGTATCCGGAAGGTGGTCCGGCCCCAATCTGCCTAAAGTGTCAGACACCGTCCGGACGTTGGCGACGTCGCATGATGCCATGCGAAATTTCTTGCGAACTATCACGAGAAATATAACCCTACTAAAGTTAGGACGTACATTGGTCCAGAGTCCAAACGGACATTGGAATTTGTTATACGGCCTTAGCGTCTTTACATGATTCAAGACCTTAGTGGGTCACTCTATACACGTACAACTCCAACTCTTGGGTTTCTAGGCTCGGTCCAACGACCTTGCCCTCCGAACGTACCTCGCGTCACCTTCAGGCTTTGGAAACCCCAAACCAGCACCAAACCATCGCGACTCTGGGGCCTTCACCCGACATTTTTATCAGGGTAATTACCCTGATTTCAAGGTGATGTCAGACCTCACACCTTGTGGTAATTAAAATTTCATAATTAATGAGTTTCCAACACTGATCCAGTCAGAGTAATACTTTAGGGGACCCTGAATTCTGGTATACACTCTCAGCATAGTATTTTTACAGTCACTGTTATTACAGAGTACGAGTACTGTGGTCCCTGAATGAGACCTTCTCGATAAGAAGTTTCCCATAACTTTCCTTCAGATAAGCCCACCTTCGAGTTGGTTGTGTTACAGTACCAACACGCGAGAATACAATGGCAGCGAGCCTTCGGCGCTAGCTTCCCACCGCGCTGCTGCTCGGGAACCATGAACTCCACCATGCAGCCACACACCCGCACCAGCGTGAGGTTGGGCTTCTTCCCGGTCAGCAGCTGGTGCTGCGTCGTCCCCGGCAGCGTCGTCGACCGTTCCAAACAGTTGCGCACCCAGACAGCTTATCAAAGAGCGAGGTGCCACCACTGGTGCTGCACGCCCATGTGCAGCAGCATCGTTCGCACGGACTCGACGACCGTGCGCATCTCCCGCTCAGCCATATCGTTCTGCTGCGGATTGAAGGGGCACGTCAGGTCATGGAGGATGCCCTTCCCATCGATGAAGTTGGTGAACTCCTTCCCGAGAAACTCCCCTCCTCGGTCTGAGCGGAGCGACAGCACCGACGTCTTCGTCTGCCGTTCCACCAGCACCAGACACCTCTCGAACTCCCGCAACACATCGCTCTTCTTAGCGAACGGCATTGCCCACACGAACCGAGTGTGGCGATCCTTCAGCATCAGGAAGTACAAGATGTCATCCTTGGCAACCACCCGAAATGGCATGCACAAGTCAATGTGCACGACAACCAGTGCCTCTTCGGCGTCCGAGCCCTTGTCAGGGAAGGTGTGTCGTTCCAGCTTTCCTCCGACGCACGAGACACACGATGGGTCTGCTCCGGTCGACAGCGTGATGTCGAGCCCAACAGAAACTTCGTGCTTCACCAAGCTCTTGATCGTGTCGGCGCCAACATGTGCGAGCCTCGCATGCAGACGGTCGAGGGTCGACTTCGTCGACGAGACGATCGTCCGCAAAGCCACCACATTGGTCGACGGCGACCACGTTGAGCAGGGGCAAAGGTCGGTGCAGAGGAGTCGTCCGGTGTAGCATGCTCGACCGAGCACCTCCCCGATCGCGGCGACGAGCAGCATCTCGTCGCCGTCGCCCTGCAGCTGCACTCCGCTCTCCTTCAGTTGGCCAGCTGACAGCAAGTTCGTCTGTACTCCTGGAACGTAGAGCATGTCGGGGATGAGGACCCGCTTTCCTTCCTCCCTTTCCAGAGCGACGGTTCCTCGAGTCTCGATGGGTTGCAGTGCCCCGTTGAATCCACGTACGTGCTTCACTCCGTAGCTCGGCGACATGTCGACAAAGATCGTCTTCGTCCCCATCACGTGGTGGGAGCATCCGTTGTCGAGCAGCAGCGCTATCGGTGAGAAGCATCCGTTGTCTGGGGGCCACAGAAAATGGGGGGCAGCCGCATGCATCATGGACGTACGAGCGACATCCATGACCATGCCAATGCGGCGCTCAGCAATCCCAATTTGCTGTGGTGAGTCCGGAAGCGTGAAGGTCTGGCGGATCCCTCGTGCACGACAGTAGTCTCGCAGAAGGCGAGAAGAGAACTCTCCGCCTCTGTCAGAGTGCAGACGCAGAACAGGAAAGTCCGAGCCGAAGCTCTTCCTGAGCTGGAGACGAGCCTCGCGGATCCAGTCGATCAGCACCTCAGTGACCGCACCCTTGCTGCGCAAGGGGAGGACTGTGGTGAAACGCGAGTAGTCGTCAACCACCAACAGGAAGTAGCGCTCGTAACCCTGCCCACGGACGGGGGCTGGGCCCCACACATCCATGTGAAGCGTCTGCAGGGGAGCCTCTGTCGGGGGGAAGTGGGAGGAGTGATGAGCAGCCCTGAGGCGCCCCTCGACACAGGGGACACAGGAAGGTCCTGGCCCGGAGGGGAGAGGAGGGAGAGACTGGGGAAGACCAGAGACAAGGACACGGGAAGCCATGCTCCGAAGACGGGGCAAGGAGGGGTGGCCAAGACGGTGGTGCCACAGGAGAGTCTCGTGAGACAGGAGGCGACAAGAACAGGGGGCAGACTCAGGACCTGACCGGGACGCAGTAGCAAACACCTGACCCGACGCAGCTACCCGACCAGACGCAGGGACAGGAGGAGACGAAGTGGTCAGGGTGTAGAGACTCGACCCCGGCCGACGCGAAAAGGTGGCCAGGTGTCGGCCTGTGTCTGCGTCCGTGCAGTGGGTCACCCGCCGCCTCGCAGGAGTGAACTGGTGAACCCCCGCATCCTGTAGGTCCGCACCACTCACCAAGTTCGTAGAGAACGAGGGAAGGTACAGACCAGACAGGGTGCCCGAAGGGGCAGCCGGACACGGGAGGACAGTGGAGAAGTGAGACAGGACAGGACCCCCAGAGGGGTCAGCAAGGGAGACCGCAACCGGCCGGCCAAGAGGCGTGAGGGTAGTGCGGTCTCGAAAGAAGGAGCGAGAAGCCCCAGAGTCAAGTGTGAAAGTGAGGGAGGACGAGGGCGACGCAGTACCTGAGAGCGCAGTCTCACCAGCACCTGAGAGCGCAGTCTCACTAGTACCTGAGAGCGCAGACGCACTGGCACCTAGAGCAGCAGCCTCACAAGTACCTAACGCAGCAGTACCAATGCCCGGGTCGGGCTGGAAACACCGGTAACCCTCATTCTCCTCACTATAAGTCACAGCATACATAGCAGAAAGGATAGCATCAAAATCAAGATCAAAGATCGCTACACCAGCCCTAAGGAGCTCATCCCAGCGAGGGATCTCACTAGCCCCAGGGAACTGCTGACGCCAAGCGTCCGTCAGGCGGCCAAAGCAGCGCTGGGTGGAGTGGGCACCTCCACACTGCTCACCCGCGCGGTCGCCGGAACGAAGAACGTAGGCGCAGGGACCAGTACCCCCACCCCTCTGACGCGCAGCGTACCACTCACGAAGCTGCTGAGGCGGAGGGATGTCCCGCGAACGCTGCTGCTGCTGCCGCTGCGAGCGCTGGCCACCACCACCGCCGCTCCGCTGCTGGGTACCACCACGACTAGCTCCACCTCCTCCACCACTACCGCCTCCTCCGCCGGCGCCTCCACCGCCTCCACCTCCACCACGTCCACCCCCGCCGCTGCCTCCACCACCACCGCTGCCACCACCACCACCGTCTCCGCCGCTGCTGCCACCACCACCACCACCACCACCACTACTCCCGCCGCCACCCCCACTCCCTCCGCCGCCTCCGCCGCCACCGCCACCGCCCCCTCCAGCTCCGCCCGCGCCCTTGCTCCCCTTGCCCTTGCTAGAGCGACGTCTCCCACTAGGGGCAGACGCCGCGCCGACCGACTCAAGACCAAGCAGGTCGGCCGCAGCAGCAGAGGCAACAGAGGGCAGCAAGGGGGAAGGAGAGCACCCCTCAAAGATGGGGGTGCGAGGGTCACCACGAGAGGCACCTACAGCGACTATGCTCTTCTCCGCTGCGAGGAGGGCCTTCTCAAGGAGGTCGACGGTGAGAGTGGTGGGACAGACTGCGAGAAAGTGGTCCCTGACTACACGGAGGGAGTCAGGGAGGCGCGCGACTACGTAGTAAAGAGTGATGTACATGGGGGGGGGGGTTCTTAGCGCAGAACTCAGCAGGAAGGGCGGCGCGGTAGCGAGTGTCACTAGTGCGGAGGTGCGTAATGAGGTCAGCGACAGTGGGAAAGGCAGAGAGGTCAGGAAAGAGGTAGGGAAGCATGAGACGGCTCAGTGCAGCAGTGGCAGGGGAGGAGTAGCGCGCAACTACAGCGTCGTACAAGGTCTGAGCACTCTTGTACTGACTAAAGTGCGCACGCTCAGAGGTAGGGAGGTGGCGACGCACAGCAAGACGTGCAGCAGCATCGCGGGTGGCCCACTGAGAGCGGACACTGGGATCAGCATCGGCAGCAGGAGCAGGAGAGGCGCCAGAGGTGAGGTCAAAGAGAGAAAGGCTGTCAGCTCTGTCGCACTGTAAGAAAAGCTGCAGGTCGTCCAGCCAGACCTCAAAATCAATGGCGC